TCAAGACATTGTGTTATTCCAAGACTGTAATGCCAGTATGACTGAAACTGAAAGCTGAATTTCTTTGAGCACCGGCAGATACACACATCAGCCTGATCAACATTATTGCAGAGCAAACACAAGACTAATTTTCATTATCTTAGTTCTGTATTTTAATATGCACCACACGGCTGAGCCTAATGGGAATGTCATTAGTTTCGCAGGTATTTGGTCATAAACCCAAGTATTATAAATGCAAATGTTGACCTGCTGATGATGATACAGGAAAAGTGAATTGATCACAAGTACATTTATCATAATTAATCTTATAGGGAAGCATACACTTTAGCATTACATTTCATGGCAATGCACCCTGCAGTTTGGGATATATTTCACTTAAAACACAAATGTCAACATGGTAAGTGGAATTACAGGAAAAAGTCAGTAGGATTAATTTTTCTAGGAATCATGGATATTCTCACAAACGTAAAAACAATCCATCCAATCCAGCAGGTGTGAAATATTTCCGCCTCCACCCAAGTAGTTGGCCGACTGATCAACGGTGCCATCCTTAGTGCTAGTGTGCTACATGTACAGTAGCAATGCAAAACGAAAGCAAGATTTACAAACCCGCATATTTCTATTCTTGGCAAGACTTTTAAGACTTTAAACTCTTCATATCCAGCCATGTATAAGGCATGATTTTCCCAGTGCTTCCAACACACTGTTATAAATGCACAAAAGCACCCAATGCAGCCAATGCGAACACGAGGGATTTCTGAGAAGCAGATGTACTACGGATGTACCGTGGTGTATTCTTTCCACATCAACATTGGAGCCAGGACTTGACTGAGCCAACGCTTCACAGCGACGAGCTCAAATCGACGTGACACACTGTCTGCCAGAGGAGGTATCTTGAATAGATACAGATACATAGAAATGAAAACATCCCTAAAAAAAAGGATAGGCATTTAAAACATGGTGGAGGCAAACCAGTTTTGCACTAGCCTGTGAGCAAACAAGTGAAATGAGCCTAATGAGTCAAACCAATATGCAGGATACCTTCAAGTCACAAGTTTACAGTAGATTAAATCAGAAGAGGAAAGAGTAACAACAATTATAAATAAATAAAAGACATACAGTTTAGGTAAAGTTGATCTGGTATTGAACTGAACAGACTTGACACTTACAATCTGACACATTAGGACGCTGACAAACAAGACCAGTATAATGCAAGGGTTGATGCTGTGGGTTCCTCTCCAAATGAAGCCCCTTACCTAGTAGTTAATTAGGAAGTGAGCAGATGCTGGTATTGAGTGCTTTGAGCACACAAGAGAGGCAGTAATTGTTTTCTGTTGATTACATGGCCTTTTGACAGAAAAATATGTCACTGCAGTGGTGACCACAGGCTACTGGGCTGAGAAAACCCGCAGCATACAGTGCTACAACATGCAAAAGATCATGGGAAAGAAAGTGGAAATTCAACCAAAAATGTATTTACATCGTTTATCAGCTATTGTCTTCAAACACAGCATTGTATTTGTGCCTTTTCCTTTTTAATTATTGAATATTTTATCATGTGAAAACAGTACTTACTGATTTTAATGACTTTAAGATTTTTTTTTTTTCTTCTTGTGTTTCATTACATTTTTACTGTAAATGTTACATTGGGCTACTTCGACTGCCATTTATTCAAAATTGAATGAGTGCTTCATCTTTATTTTGTCTCTATTTTCTGCCCTCAGTGGCTTTTAATGGTTACAGTGTGCTTCCTATGAGGTCATTAGTGATCTCAGAAACATCTGTAATTTTCTTTTACATCACCACTTAACAAAAATGCATCATATTTTGGCTCAAACAAGCCTTTGGACAAGGAGCTGTTCCTTTACAGTTTTGCTCAATTTTCTTAATTAATATCCCGAGTGAATTTAGCCGAACCTCTCCAGATATTAAACCTAGAAAGAGAGTGCAATATACTAGTGGCCTGTTCAAGGACCCTTTAGTCGCCTTGCTGACCGTTGATAAACAGATGAGATATTGTGTGGTTTGCTTTTCTTGAATGCTGGCTCCACCTGCTGGTTTTAAGCTAACCACTCATTCATTTTCCATGTGCTGCTCGAGCAAATGCTTTGGCAACATGAACCAAATCATGAGATCAGAACAAAGGTTGATGCCTGATCTTTTAAAGCAATCTGCCAATGAGAATTATTGGGTATGTCATTATGAAAGGGGTTGGGAGTAAAAGGTTGGAGTCAGCGCTGAAAAGGTTTCCCGCAAACCTCCTTCAGAGGTCATGAGGTCATCTCGTTGACGTACTTTCAACGTCAGCACCACAGCAAAAACCTTAATTTACATTTAGTAATCCAGCAGATTAAGAGGGATAGCTCAAAGTTAAACAGGGCTGCCCCCGCTCTTTTACTACAGTTGAACTCATCCTGGCTTCGTTTACTGTTACCCTGACAACCTTATGTCACCATGTCAGAGTTACGGTGTCCCTCTGTCTCAGCTTTTCTCAACGGTTCACTTGATTACGTCTGCGCAGTGACTCAATGGATGGAAGGGACTTGGCAAGTGTCTTCCTCTGTTGGAAATATCAGTTAGTATATCATGTTCATTTAAAATAATGACAGAAAGTTGGTAAATTACAGAAGAGTATTAGAGCTGTACTTTAGGAAAAAAACAATCAAATGCAAAAAAAATTATTTAGCAATGCAAGAATTAAGACAAAAATGTTGACGAATAAAGCTAGACTTTTAGCAAATGCACTGACATTAGTAGTTGGGTTTATTTTCAGGGTTCAACTTCAATCTTGAAATGTTTATTCCCAACATTTTGACTTTATTCTATGAGTGCTTTTTTTCCTGGCATAGCGCTTGTACTTTTCCTTAGTAAAGAGAGAAGACATTTTGGTTGAAGTTATTGATGAGTTACAGATCCTCACCACTCAGGGTTTGGGTCTGAGTGGAGCATAATGATGTGCCAGTATACAGGAGTTTCTCTGAAAAGTAGTACTACAGGATGCAGTGTGTTTATGTTGGTGTGTAGTTCTTCTTGACCCTGTCATGTCCATGTTTGTGTACCTGGCGTGGAAGAGGCCCAGACAGTTTTACTGGAATGCCTATCAGCAGGCAGCTGGCTTGTTAAATACTCTCCAGAGGTTTCGTTTTTGCCAGACATATGGCAGAAATGTGTCTTTGACTCAAACATGACAACATGTATGCCCTTCAAATGGAGCAGTTGAGTCATAATAATTAAAAATGTGCACACATGCTTTCCTGCTGTTGGAAGGAAACAAAGAGCATTTGTATCTGAAACAGTTCCAAAAGCAGTTTGCATAATGTTTATTCACAGTCACAAACCCATCTTAATTGATTTCAAACAGTTTTAGAGGAGGTGATACATCAAACCAGGCAGAATCAAGAAAAATCGGGAGGAGAACAAGACTTTTAAAAAGACTGGACTCCACTGTGTTAAGTCTCGGTTCATGGACGGAGAAATATTCTTGAATGTGGGAGAAGTCAGAGAAGCCACAGTTATGCAGCGAGCTGGGCTGTGGCCTCCGTCTCGCAGCAGATCCTCCCCCTCGTCTGGAAGCTGTTGAGTTCTCCTCCAGATGTGTGCGCCTGATCTTTCTGATGACACACTGGTGAAGGCAGAGCAAAACAAAAAGAGGGTTCCAAATAAAAACACAAACAGGATGATATAAGAGGGGGAAAGTAAGCGTGTTTGTATACTTTTACTTTTGGGTACACTTTAGTGTACATGTTATTGGACTTTTGGAGAGGCAAGACGTATAGTACACATGTATTCTATAAGTGCACAAATAAGAGGATGTTCTGCATTCAAGTGCTTTCCCCGGGCCCTTAAAGTTAGTTTCTGAGAAAACTTTCAAATAAAGAAAAGATCTTTGGACAGCATCACGGAAATGGAGAAATTGGTTGGATGAATTCATTTTGAAATGGTTAAAAACACGATACCACATTGGGCTTTTCATGAAGACTATAAGTAACCTCTGAGTATTCGTCTTTTACTTGTTTGCAGCTTAAGCAAGGGAAGTGAAGCAAGTAAAGGAACAATCATTTAGATTTATCCCCATCATCTTACACATGTTCTGGAACATCAAAAAACAAAGCAGGCATTTCCTCTATGAGGCATTTGGGACTTGCATTCCCATTTTCCCCCCCTCTCACATTTACAGTTTAGAAAATGCCAGTTGCTTAAACGGCAGGTGTCTTTGACTTGGTCATCCTCCAGAGAGAACAGGTTGCACAGCTGTCTGGCACACACAGTGCTCACAAAAGCACGGAAAGAGAGAGAATGAGGCACTTAATGAAAGATAGCAAACAACTCCTTTACTCGAGTGAACTCTGGGTTCTTGTCGGACAGCTCTGGCGGGGAGATGCTCCTGCTGTGTCTTTTGTATGTGCAAGTGGATCAAACAAAAGCTTATTGGGGAATCTCTGGGAAGCCCAAGCTGTCGGAAAGGAATGCCTCTTCTCTTGTGGCTCTGTGCTTGAGTCTTAATCAGTCACTGGAGGGGCTGGCAAGCTGGGGGCCTCCTAGACCCAGCGGGCGGACAGGAACTCACTCACTCCTGACCTCACTTCAATGCCTCAATAAAATCTATTAGCTGAACACAGACAGGCAAAAGGATGGTCATTGTTGCCGATGTAATGCAGATATATCAAACTAATTGGACCCTGTTAGCCTTTTCATGGGCATACTGTCAAGGTTCTTATGTAATCTCTTTCTAAAATCCAGGGAGTGGCTGAACATTTCAATGGCTTTCTTATTTTAATTGTTTTAATGGAAAAATTTGTTTTAAATTCTATGATGTATAGGAAAATATATGCGGAGGGTCTAAAGGAAAGTGGAAGTTATTTGTGGCCAGTACAAATACTCGAAACATAAAGGGTGTGTGTTCCCTCTAAGAAGGCGGAGTTTTCTCCCTGGGGTCCTGAGCCAAACTGGTGTTATGTAACTGATACACTGCTCCTCATCCTGATGTGGAGTTACCCGAAAGTGTACAGAGAGCTCTGTGCACATGGAGAACATTTCTGCGGAGCGTCTTTAGAATGTTAGCGGGACATTTTTCTAAGAAAATGGGCCTTTAAATCTAGATGTAGATGTTTAGCCAGAGAACTGTCTTACAGCCGTAATCCAAATGTAAAACTGACCTTAAACACTGCCAAGGATCATCGTTGGTTAATGTTCAACTCAGGAGGCTCTTGGTGTGGCTGCAGAGGAATTTGGAAATGGGACTTTGCGTTTAGATTTTGAAACCAGCCAGACGGACAGACATGGGCAGCGGTACAAGCCGAGGGAAGAAAGTTGCACCTGCGTGTGTCGGCGAGGTGAAGGGTACAAAATCAACCTCTGGTGAAACGTCACCAAAACAGGAAAGCCGGCCTTTTAAGCCTCTTAAAATCCAATCAATTTTGCGCAACGCGCGCAACCGTGCGCAACCGGAGTGCCACAGCGAGGGGCACGACTCTGACTTTTCTCGGGAGGAAGATGACATTGACGGGGAGATGGACACTGTTATTGCGGATTACGAGGAGCGAGAGAAAACTTCCGTGAAGAAAACTCCTCCCAAGAAGATAGTCATTAGATCTAAAACATACGGACTGTGTCCCTTCAGCCAAGAGGATGGAAATGACTTCAGCTCCGACGAGCCACGTGGCTCACACGGTGGATCCGGAGATGTAAACAAGAGGAGCAGTGATGCTTCCACACAACCTGCGTGCCCCAGTCAGCACAGTGTAAGGATTTGTATTATACTAGAATGTGTTCATTATTATTGGAAAACACGTGATTTATCTGTCAGTTTATTTATAACAGCAAGGTTGTTTTCTGGTCTGCAGAACTTTTAAGTGCTAAAATGAAAACACATGCCATCCTTTCTTTCCTTCTTTATCTCTGGTGTGTCTCAGTCCTCTCAGGGTTTTTTGACAAAAGGGGCTTTGTTGGAAGCTGTTCCCACATCAGAAAAACAATCGTAAGTACAGCTCTTATAAATAATGCAATTCCGAGCTCAGTGGAGTAGTAAAAACTGAGCAGGGTCAGATCAAATGTACCTTAAAGGGATCGAAATACCAACCCATTATTCTCAGGGACGATCAGATTAGTGAGACAAGCAGGACAGAAACAAACACACGTCTGTTGTTGCTGCTTTGTTGGAAGTGAGTGTGATAACCGGAACTAAGAATAGCATCCCCAATCCAACATGTGTTAAACACAAGGAGGAAACTATATTTCATACAGGGCCCCTATAGGGAATTATATTATTTGGAAATGCATCACTTGATATTGTTGTGGATTGATCTATTGAAAACATATACATCTGTTGTGAAATCGCTCAAAAATAGAAAGTATCACTTAATATGTTCTGTGTTATATCACTATGTTGATGACTCGTTTCTCCACACTCCCAGGACGTTTGGTAGCTCCTCTCTCACCACGCCAGCCATCATGTACGATGGATCAGAAGAGGAGCTGATGAACACTATTGAGAAAGAGTTTAATTGACCCCCAGCTGAGAGTGCTGCAGCAAAGCTGTTTTCTCTTCAGCTGTCCTTGTGGCACAGAAAGGTTTGCATTAGCAATTTCTAAAATAGAAATGGGTGCAGGTTTTTTTTTGACAATTTCCTGTTACCAAGGAAGGCTACATCCACTGTATTTAAGTAGGATTTCACAGGTAAATCCTACATTGTTTGTGTTGAACTTAAACTGCTGCACTCCAGGCCTTTGCATTTCACCCAAGTCTTATTTAACAACATGTGGCAGTGTAATCGCAGAGCTATAACACCAACTTGAACAGGTGCCAGGAGGTTCTCCTTGCAGTCCAGAGAGCTGAGAGAAGCCTTCCTGGTGTGTTATCTGCAGCGGTGTCACTGTCACCCCCTCAACGCTGCAGGCCTCCCACAGAGCACACACCTTCTTATTTGTTACCTATTACCTACTTTACTTTAACTTTGCTGTTAATAGGTAAAGGAAAGAGCACACATGTTTCTCTGGTTGCTAAAACTGAGGTAGTAGCATTAAAACCACATTCTTGTGGCCATGCTATATGCAAGCATCACATTTTCCAGCAGCAGATGTGCAGGGCAGGGTATAGGGTAGAGTTTTTGTGGCGACCCTGCAAAGGTATGAGCTGGGATGTTTGTTTAAGGTTTCCTTCCTGGCCACAGTTCCTGCACTTTTCCACCCTTGTGAAGAAGGAATGTGTGGCAACAGAGACTTTTAGTCAGGCTCACTTAAGACGCAGCTGTGTTTTAGCCACATTCAACTATAATGGGATGCTGCCACTTAGTGGTGGAACACAGTAGCATGAACACATACTTGAACATTAATAATGTATGTGTAAACAAATGGCATATGTCAATGATTGACAAAAGGGGAAATTCAACCTGGCATGTAGAGAAAGGGTTTTTTAATGTTGTTTTATATTGCAAATAAAAATGGATTGTTGCTGTATTTCTGGTCATGTGTGAAGTTTCTGTAAGAATCAGTGTGTGTGTTTAAGTTGACTGAGTTGACTTATACTTAAAATACCTGTGTTTCCTAATAATCCACCCCAGAAATACAGTTTGATGCGCCCTTTAATCATCACAGGAACATTTTTTAAGGGTATTTCAGCAGGCAAACTGTACAAAATAAAATGTGCATCTCTAAAACCATAAAATAAAACACCATAAAATATTTGGCACACTTTTAAAAAAATTAAAAAGCTACCCCACAGTGCGACTGAGATGTACATACTGAAGAGAGTACAGTACTGGTGTGCCAATGCATTGTTCTTGGCAATTAAGACATTCTTTAAACTAATACTTCAGCCTCTTTGAAGGCCTGTAGTAAGACATTCTCCTCCGTACGGCCGTCAGTAGTGTTGGAGGTAGGAAAGAAAGCTGGTTTCTGAGTGTCTCATTGTTCCTCACATTCTTTGCAATGTAATCCTCACAAATCCTGTGAGAAGAAAAAGTATGTCATTTTTTCATTTATATATTTCCAAAAAACATTACCTAATTTCAAGTAAATGTTACCCTTGAAAGGAGTTGATACTTCTTTAGAAATGGATCCTTACACAATACATTTTAAAACAGACCTGTTAACCGTCAGAAATGAATGTTTTTCTTTTAAATTCCAACTTTGTTTAACAAAATGTGTGTCGGTCTTTTTAATTTTTTTCTGGTTAAATTAGTCGATTATTTTCCGCAATGTTTTTATGAAATGATCTCTTTGGGTTTTATAAATCATATCCTGTTTCTTACCTGAATAGAGGATATGGCTGTGTTTGGAAGACAAGGGCGTCATTGCAGTGACTCTGAAAAATAAATATGCAAGTTTCTTAAGGTCAGTAAACAATACCTGTACACATCTCTTTATAGAGCTGTTGTGGGGTAATTAAACATCTGCTGATTTAAAAACAAACTTGCATCCATATAGTTTCAGATGTTTGCATGTTTTAAAGGGATTTTCTGATGCTTTTATAGAATTGAGTTTGTAAAGATTTCAGATCTGCCAAAAATATGTATAATTTCACATCTCTTAGTTGGAAAATGTCTCTTTGGCACTTACATTGTCAATTAGGAGGATGTAGTCACAACTTCCACCAAATACGATCACATCAGAGTCTTTGCTTGGACATGCTGTGTGCCATAACCTTCAATAGGAGAAATTATGCTTTTAAAAAAAATCATCTCAGAATTTCTGAAAACTCTCCTACAAAGTAATACATGTAAAACACACAGTTATTTTTCCACAATTGCCACATATTCATAAATTGCTACCGTGGCTTATTCTTGAAGGGATGCTCGACTTCTCTCCATATCTTTGTTTCAACATCAAGCAACCATCCATCACCTGATTTAGAAAATACATGTTATTGAATTCCAACCAATGAATAATATAAAATGACCAAAGGACACTTTCTTACTCATTGGTTGCAGTCTACACTGAGACCTCCAAACAGGAACACGCTGCTGTCTGAAACTGCTGTGAGCGAATGCCACGATCTGCCCACTGGAATGGAGGAGCCTGGCGTTCTGGAAAATATATTTAGCGCACTGGTGTCAAAAGACAAACCTGGCTGAAGTTAATTTTTAAAAATCCATTACAAAGTTGAAAAAAAAGTAATTTGGGCACACTTGCAGTTTGCTATTGATCACAAACAGATACGCACATTTCTGACCACGTCCATGATTCAAGGTCCAGGCAGTGAATGTCACTCGTTCTGGTTTCCTGAATATAAAAAAAGTAAAGCACAAGTTACTAACAACAGACTTGGATTTATGTTTCTCCGATGTCCTTGCTGCTACTGATTACTTCTTGTTGTCTACGTTCATATATGAGAGGAACTGAAAATGATGTAGAGCTCCCACCATGACTCTGCCTCCACAGATGTATCCTTTTTTTCCGATTGTGGCACTGGCGTGGGCGGCCCTGGGGTCTGGAGTACGGCCCTGCACACAAAAACAGTCACAAAAGTCATCTGTGGATTTTGAAATTGTCTTAACATATTTCCAATACAGCATAGTAACATATATTAACATATTTCCAATACAGCATAGTTTCCCTTACGTTTGAGGTCTTAACAAACCAAAATCCATGCATGCATTCAAGGCATAAAATAATAAATCACACTCAAATATACTCACATGGGTTTGTGGTTGACTCCAACTGGCTTGCATGGGGTCAAACATATGAACCTCATTGTTCCATCCCCAGAAGACTTCTTCTACCTATAAGTATAACATACATTGAAAATTATTTATATGAAGGCATTTAAGGGTATTGTTGGTCAGTACCAGTGATATCACAGTTTCGTCCTCAGATGCTGACATTTCACATTTCTGTCCTGGAGCACTTTAAAACTAAATTTCCGGAAAAGTAGCAAAACAACACAGAAAAATGGAGCACTGATGTTTTCAGAAATATTTATGTAATGCCTTATCGACACTGTTGGGTAAGCAAGTGTTTATCGAACCCAGTGACGGTGTCAACAGTCAATAATATTGATTACCCATGATGCTTTATCTATAATAAAGCTTCTGTTTGTTCTATCAACATTAGACAGTAGTTTGTGACCATATCCTCCAAAGTAGATGATCCTGGAAAACAGTAAAGAAAGATTATCACAATTATTATCATGTGTAATATGGTGAATAAAATAAATACTGTAGTAGTCATGTAATATTGAGATTTTAAGGGTGCTTACTTTCCCTTGTAAACCCAGCAGGACAGTTTGTCTCGATGTGACGGGGCAGAACCAATGTCATAATTGAACTTCTTCCACGTGTATTTGCCGTCTGTCAGGTCGACACAATATATCTGTTTAAAGTCAAACACTGATCACTTCTTCATGTCAACATTTGCTCATTCTAAGATGTGACCTTTAGGAGGGATTTTACAGAATGATAGTAATTATTAACAAAAATATGAATAAAAACATATTATTCACATCAATTCAACCATAATTAGATAAAGTACTGTGTGTTGAGAATCTGCCTTACCTGATTGGTCTGTCCATTGTTATCACAACCTCCAAATATGTACAAGTGTCCATTTAGTAAGCAGCCACAGGATCCAGACATAGAGGGAGGGACTTCCCCTGACATGTGAAACACTTCCCTTCAAGAAAAGGTTTAAAATGTTAAAATGAGAATAAATTACTCACATACTCTTATGTTATGACACATTTTTACAACAATGACTACAAAGCAGAAAGCTCCAGGCAAGTGCTTTACAATCCAAACACAAGAAAAATGTGACAAGACTGGAACAAGTCAAACACAATGAAAGTCGCTAGAAGGAATGTTAGACATTAGGACAGAGTGTGTGGATATTATGTGAAGATTGTGTGCATTACTATTCTTTGTTATGACAAAAATCCGGCACATTTAGTACTTATTTAATCTTCTTACCATACACCCAGTTCTAAGTCGTACACCCAGATTTCATCACTAGGCAGGAAAACTTCATCATCAGCAATGGACTGTAGAGAATAAAACAAGGCTATTATAATGACATAACACGTATAGCCTGAATGTGTCTTTCAGTCTGTCATGATATGGAACTAAATCATTATTATGGAGATATGCAAACAAAAAATATCATGCAATAGAATAAGTCAAATTCGGAGAATGTGCTTAAAGCCATATTAGCATGCTAAATGAGGGTTTGCTTGGTTTGCTATATTTTTTCAAGTTTTCAAATGTTACGTCTTCTGCATAAACAGTGATAAAGGTAGTAAGATCCTTTGCGTGTGTAAAAGTAGTACTACCATATTGCGGACATTTCCAAAAAGTAAAAGAGCTAAAAATGTTATAGTAGAGTATTATCTGCAGAATAAACTTAAAGTATCCTAGAAATACTTGTTATGCAAAATGGCTAATTTGATATTCCGACACTTGATTATTATTGATCTATTATTAATAAGGCACCATGTAGCCTAAGCAGAATTGAAATGTTTAAGCTATGGTTCATATTTAAAAAGCAGAGAATATGGTTTGTAGAAAAATTCTAATCAGTAAAACAAACAAACAGATTAATTTAATAATAAAAAAGTTAAATACTTCCACCTGACATGTAGTAACCAGTTAGTAACTTGAGAGTAAAGTAAATTCTGGTTAATGTAGCCAACCTCTTTCCTTTGTTTAACAGCTGGTTTAGAAATGTTGTTTATTGTTTGTTTTGCTCACCATGTACCCTCCCCACACATACAGCAGGTTCCCCTCGACCACAGCCGTGTGTCCGCTCCTCTCCCGGGCCACCAGCTCCGAGCTGGGGCTCTCAGATGCGGAGGCCATAGCTGGGTGCTATCAATAGAAAAGGTTTGAGGTTAAAATGATATATTTGTTAAAGAAAAGTATTTAAAGGTCGCCAACAATATCAGATGCTGTTGAAAGCAGTAAGGGAAGTGACCCATAACTGCAAAGCAGAGCTAAAAAGCAAGCAAGCTTTCTATCCCTTTATGTTGTTGTCATTGCTTTAACATAAACATAAGTATGGTGGTTTGGCTCTATGAAACCGAATGTACTTATATGATTCTGTTTTCTTCAAGTTTGTATCTTCTTGGTCGAATGCACTTATTGTAAGTCGCTTTGGATAAAAGCGTCAGCTAAATGAAATGTAATGTAAAAGTACATTATAGGCTTTGGTATTTGTACAAAATTGAAAGCGACATAACATTGTTACCCTGAGCTGACGTTACAGTGGCAACAACAACGGTTGTCGACGACGACAATACACACATTTTTTACATTTTATTTTCTACCAATATACTAATATTCATACTCACCTGATTCAGAAGGCTTTTAGTTGACTGTCCCTTTTTTTCTCATGTTGTAAACACTAAAACACAGCATAGCAAAAAATACCTCTAGTTCTACTGCCATAAGCTGTTTCAAAATACAACTTCCGGTATTCTGTGGCTTTTCAAAGTAAAAGCTTTCTGCCCGAAAACAACCTTATTCTAATTTGCAGGCGGTCGAGACGGAACACAGCAGTTCCCAGAAGAAAATGTAAAAATGACTAAATTAATTCTCTCAACACTGGTTATGACGGTAACATTCACAGTTTGTATTCAGAGTTTCCAGAATAAATAAATTTCTTTGAAAAAATCAGCAGCACCCATTATTTTTGCATTTACCAAATTATTACAACAGTAACAACAATAACAGCTGTATAAATGCAGAGTTACAGCACCAAACTGGAATATGTGCAATATGTGCCACAGAAGCCTACTGCTACGTAGGGAAACACAATGAGTTTGATACAGTTTTAACCATGCATGTCAATGTATTCTTCTTGTTTTCCTTTATTTGTATTATTTTATCTTATTTGAGGTTTATTGTTGTAGTTTTATTTGTTTGTTTTTAGGACTGCATCATTGCTGCAGTCTAATAATCAAGGTCAGTCGAAAACTTTTTCACATCATCAATAAAACTTTAACCATGTGTTATGTTCATTTAATGGAGGCACTGCAAAATAAAACATGTATATACATATTAAATAGCTTAATATGGCTTTATTAAAACATTAACATTTCACACCAATAAATGCTTACCTACTAAAGTATACATGATGACATATATAATAACCTCAGGTTGGTATTTAGAAAGTGTTTAACTAGTGTTGTTGCTTCTTTGGAGGCCTGTAGAAAGACTCCCTCCTCTGTACGGTTGTCAGTAGTTTGGTGGGCAGTAGATGAAGCTGATTGTTTTAGTTTTAGTAAAACATTTTATTTCATATTAAATATCTTTATATCTGTTTTTTTCAAGTTAGTTTTTATGATTGTATTATGTATTATATTATTATTTTATTTATTTTATTATAATTTTATTTTATTTTATTCATTCTAATTGTATTTGTTCACATCCCCGGAGGTGTTGGGGGCGTGTCATATTTTATTGTTTTTGTACATATTTCATTTTAGTGTTTTGTATTGATTGTACATTTTTTTAATCATAATTGTTTTTATTATAATTATTTGTAATATATTTATTTTATTTTGTGTTATTATTTTTTTAATTGTTTGATTATTTTTGTTTTTATTATAATTTATTTTAATATTATTAATATGTTATCAATATTAATTATTATTTAATTATTCATTGTTTATGTATTGATATCATTTATTGATTTGATTTATTTATTCATTGCATTTTTACTTGTCATTTCTTTATTGTCATTATAATGTTTTATGAATTGATATCACTTTTACAATTATAATTATTGTATTTATTATAATTGAATATATTACTATTTTTTGTTATAATTGTAATTTAATTTATTATTGGTATTTTATTATTACTTTTATTTAATTTAATTATAACCTTTTTTAAGATTAAAAAAAACATGTGTGGGTCCAATCCACAGACTGTATATTAAAGGTCCAATCTGTGGGGCTGCTCTGTATCTTTGGTACAGAGGGCTGTGCGTGGTTCGTCAGCGGAAGTGATGAAATACATGCGGAAGTTGACATTTAGCGCCAAATCTTGAGTCGAACAGTGACAACAGAGACGCTTCATTGTAACAACCATGGATGTTGCTCGCAAAATTAAGACAAAAGTGTCCGCTGGCTTCAAGATGCGGGGACTTATACTTCGACCGTATGTATTTTAATCATATTAAACCGTTTTGTTAATGTTGTAACGTTACTGCTGTTCATACAAGATATCTGTCGCCTCAAAGGCAGCGATGGTCTGGAAGCGGTCTACTCTGTCTGTCTAATGTTATGGCAGTGACAACCTGGAAATGTAACTTAATGTGGGCAATGGTTTTGTATCGTCAGGTCTACCTTAAACCACTTGACGTGACAATAAACAGTAACAACTCTTAAGATATTTCAACTGCTTTTAGTCCCCCACCGTTAGTATACATTTCTGCAGTGATTCCACTTCTACTAAGTATGTCCAATTTCAGCACTTTAACTTCTACTGAAACATCCCCTTGGTGCTTATGTAGAAAATAGAAAAAGATCAATTTAAGGTTAATGAACCTGGTTGCAGGGATTACCTCCGCTGCTTTCATCAAATACGATCATACTGAAAGATAAACTTATTTCATGTTTACACTTAGGGTGACTCTTTCTATGCTCCAGCTTAAATACAAAATATCGTCTAATATGAACATTTTGAAAACATTGCAGTCTATTTCTTAAGCAAAATTGGGCAAAATATAGAAGTCATAAATGTTTTCTGGGATATTTGTTATCGAAAGCACACACACATTTTCTCTGGGAAACTCTTTATTAGTTTGCTTTCATATAAGCAGTCAAAAGTAAGAAACACGCATTTTTTCTTGTTTTTACATGCATGGTTTTTGTGCTCCAGTGAAGCCAGCAAATACCTACTGGAGGTCCTGGAGTCTGTCAATGCCACTGAACTGGATGACATTATTGAAAAGGTCCTGGATGCAGTGGAAAAGCAACCATGTAAGTGTACAGAACTACCTGTCTCAAAAAATCTCTGTTTGTTTTAGAGCCTGGCAGATTTTCATCTTATAACATACATATGTGTATATGTTGTCTAACATGCACAAGGGTGGAACACTAACAGGATGGTTTCATCACATTAGACATTGTCCAGCAGAGCTCGCTTAGACTTACAAAACTCTGGCAAGCAGTCAGTATGAGAGACAAGAGGCAGTCAACCCTCGTGCAGAATCTTCTGCAGCAGTACCTAATGTGTTTTTATGTTTACCTGAAGTTTGTTTGCAAGTTGTGACCGCTGTTTGTTTTTCCCAACAGTGTCCTCTAACATGATAGAGCTGTCTGTGGTGGAGAGTGCTGTTCAGGATTGCACTCAGTCTTGTGATGAAAACATGTAAGTGTTTCTATTTGATTTACTGATCATAATACATTTACAAACTACATATTTGCCTAAAAGTTGTTAAAACTCCCTTCCAGAGATAATGTTTTCAACATCATTGGAGCCTTTGATGTGCCCAGATACATTTACAGTTCGGAGCGGAAGAAATTTGTACCGTGAGTTAATCAGTTTCTTTGTTGTTTGTGTACAAATAATCCCAGAATTATATTTATTACCTTTTTGCTGCTGATGTAAGACCTAGTTTACATACTTACATATATTGCAGACAAAGTTGTTAAAGTTTTTTTTTTTTGTGGCTTTTTTCCTTCAGCATCAGTATGACAAGCCATACAGCATCCAGTCTGTGTGGTTTGGCCAGAGACAAAGCTGAGTTCTTCAGGGAGCGCTACACCATCTTGCAACAGGTCAGTGAGTCTGTCTTTATCAAATTGGATTCACTGTCTTTGCTGCCAGTCCAGTGTGCGTAGCTTGCACGTTGTATTAATACAGACCTATTGTTTTGTAGCGTATACATCGGCACCAGCTCTTCACCCCTCCTGCAATAGGAGCTGCTGTTGAAGAGGGTCAAAACAAGTTTCAGGTAACGCATCTTAAAACACTACTAGAAAATAAAACACATCCTAATGTTTTGCATTTGACTAACAGATTGTTTTCATTTTTCATTTGTATGTTCTAGCTCAAGACAATTGAAGCACTGCTTGGCAGCACAGCTAAACTGGGAGAAGTGATCGTACTGGGGATGATCACACAACTGAAAGAGGTGACTTGGGGAGAAAAAGCTTCCTGTCTGTTCTTCAGTACATTTTATATTTTCAACTAGTTTCTTAAACTTTTCTTAATTTCTTTTCAGGGTAAATTTTACCTGGAGGACCTAAGTGGAACAGTACAACTGGACATGTCCAAAGCAATATCCTTTCAAAATCTTTGTATTAGCTGGTCATCAAAAACAAATTTGTATTGATCAATATACAATGCTTTTAAAATGGTTGAATTCTTTAACTAGAGTCGCACCAGTTTCATAATGGCCTGTACACAGAATCCTGCTTTGTGCTGGCAGAGGGTAAGACATCAACTCATTCTAAAAATGGCATTATTGAAAATACAAAAAGATGATTTAATATTTAAAAATATAAAGTATTATCACAAACATTATTAGAAGGAAAGTTGTCCCCTTTGTCCTGCAGGTTGGTACGAGGACTCGGTTTTCCACGTCAATGGCTTTGGGTTTCCACCAACAGAGTCGTCATCAGGCACAAGGTCAGTGGATGGAAAACGGTTTTAAGAAAACATTTAATCACAAGAATAATCAGTGAGCTGTCAGTAGAGATTTGTGCAACCTGATAGACATGGGAGTTCATCTGTAGCTTTTCACATTTTAAAATAACCCCAAAGCGAAAGAAGAATCTAGTATGACATCTGTGAGGTTGTTTTACCTTGTTGTTGATATGCGGTGAAATCGTCATTAAACTAAGGTGAAGGCCAACATCATTATTATTTTTTCAATCAAGAGTATTGAAACTGTCTGTAATAACGACAGTAATCTTTAACGATGATAACGCTTTTAACCAAATATAATAGCACTGGGATGTTTACAACATATATGTTTATTACTCACAAGATATTAAAATTGGCATTCAAAGTTTGTTGCAACTCCCCTGATTTCTGTTTGAGTTCGCTTGTACAGGGCACTTAACTCTAAATTGTTTATTTAAAAAGAACAAAAATGTATGTGTAAGAACAGTTAGTCACTGATGCTCCTTGCTTTATTTCCAGAGCATACTACGGCAATCTCAACTTCTTTGGCGGTCCATCCACCACCTCAGTGAAGGCCTCAGCCAAGCTAAAGCAGCTGGAGGCAGAGAATGAAGACGCCATGTTTGTCATTGTCTCTGATGTGTGGCTAGACAGCGTTGAAGTGATGGAGAAGCTCAATGTCATGTTCTCAGGTCTGGTGTTGCAT